TTTAGTTTATAATTCTAATATTCTGTGAGACAGATTAATCTTAAATAGATTTAAATATATTTTTTAAAAAAAAGAATAATTTATTTATTTATAATTTAGAAATTATAGAAATAATAAAATTATTATTAAGAATAATAATATTATTATAATAATAGATTATAAGAAAAATATATAAAATAAAACTATAGAAAATTAGATTATTTTAAAAATTTTAATTAATAAAATAATAAATTATATATAAATTAACTTCTTATACTTTATAAAGAAAACAGATATCTATTATAAAAGAAAAAGAAAAAAGAACTATAATAGAAATAATAATAATATTAACAGCAGTAATAGTAATATTAAAGACAGTAGTAATAATAATAATAATAATAGCAGTAATAGTAATAATAATTATAAAAATAAACTAATCTAGCTCTATATTAATTATAAGATATAAAATAAATCTTTTTAAAAAAGTATGTATTACAAATATTCGCGGAAAAAAGAAAAGAAAGAAAAAGATAAAAAAAAAATAAAAATTTAATAATAAAAATAATAATTTTTTTATAAAAAAAAAGCAGTAAATATATAATATAAAAAAAATATTAAGATAATTAGTTATAATTTCTAGATTAGATTATATATATCTTAGATTTATAAAATAATAAATATTTATTAGCTAATATAAGATTATAAAATATTATATCTTATAATTTAGTATAAATATTTTAAATCTGTAAGAATAAAATAGCTATAAAAATATAAAAAAACTATAAAAATATAAAATAATTATAAGAGTATAAAACAGCTGTAAGAGTATAAATAATTATCAGAATTCTTTAAATAAATACTTACTTATAATAATAATAATAATTAAAGAGAGAAATTATAGAGATTAAAAAAAAGATTAGAAAATAAAAAAAATTAAAAGAAAAAAAATTAAAAAAAATATTTTTTCTTAAAATTCTGGTTCTAAGCTTCAAATTCTAATTTATATCTAAATTAAAAATATTATATTATATTCATTATCTAATTATAATTATAGAGATATTTATTATATTTATTATTTATAATATTTATTATTCAGCTATAACTATAAAAATTTAAAATATAATAAATAATAATATAATTATAGTTATATAAAACAGCTATAGCAGGCTTATATAAAATAAATATTATAAAAAAAAGAATTATTTTTTTTTTAATTAATTTTCTTATAAAGAAGATTTTATAATAAAAATTTTAATAATATCTAATTTTTTATAAATAATAATCTTAGAGATTAAGATTTTAAAGAGAAAAATAATTATAAAAATAATATTTTTTATAATTCTTATAATATAATATATTATAAAAAATATTTATATTATAAAGATAATCTCTTACAAAATAATTATACTAATATAGTATATAAATTATAGAATTCTTATAAATATATTTATTTATAAAACTAAAAGAAATTAAATAAAAAACTAATAATAATACTTTAAATAATATAGATACTATCTTAACTTTATAATAGATATACTTTCTTCACATTATCTTAACACACACCCTTATACTAAATAGAACTTATGTAGATATTTTTTAAAGATTTAATTAATAAATTTCTAAAAAATACTTAAAATATTAGTAAAATTAAAAAGAATTATTAATTTTTTATATAGTTTATATTTTATATAAAAAACTATTATTTATTCTTAATTTCTAATAATTTATATATAATAAAAGACAGAGAAAATATTAAGTTTAGTAAATTATTTTACTTATTTAATCTAATTAAGTATTGTATAAATTAAAGATAAAGAATATTAATTTTTTTAATAATTATATTTAATATTTAATAATTATATTTTATATTTAATAATTATATTTTATATTTAATAATTTATATAAAAACAGAGCTTTTTTTCTAATTTTTATATAAAAAAATAAATGTTATAATAAATAAATAGCTAACTTTAACAAAATTCTTACTTAATAATTTTATTAATATTTTCTGTAATACTAATAATTTATTATAAAATATATTATATAAAAACTCTTATAATATTTAAGAATTTTATTTATTTTTTTATATTAATTTAATTTTATAATTTATATTTTTATTATAATAAGATAATAATTTATCTGCAGGTAGAAATTTAAAAAATTAAAAAGAAAAATAATAATATCTAAATAGTTTTATTTAAAAATTAATTAATAATTTTAAAATAAAAATTCTTTAAATATTATTTATTATAATAATAAATATTTTAAGATTTTTAATTTTTATATATTAATATTATTATATATATATATTTATAACAGCAGCAGAAATCTGAATAATTTTTATTTTTAATTCTTTTTTAAATTAAATTATATAATTCTAGTTTTTATTATATAAAAATATAATTATTTTTATTTTAGCTTTAATTATATATTAAATCTTTTTATTTAAAATAGTTCTAAAATAAGATTATATCTAAATCTATTTAATAAAATATAAAAAAAGACTTTTTTCTCTAAATATATATTTATATCTAAATAAATTTATATAATATATATTAGATATTTTATTTATTTAATAATTTCTTTTATTAATTAGAAAATAATTTTTATTATTAATAATTTATTTTATTATATAAATATTTTATTAATTACTTTATAACTTAGACAGCTATTATTTATTAATATTTATATTATAATATTATAATTTAGTAATATTTATATTATAAAAAAATTTCTTAGATATATTTTTATAAAATATTTCTAATTTAATAATATTTTTTTATTATTAATATTCTCTAATATATTATTTTATATAGAATTTATTCTTTTTTAATTTTTTATTATCTAAGATTTTAATAGATTTTATTATAATTATCTTATTTAATTTATTTTTATAATCTTATATAAAATATTTATAATTTTTATATTTAAAATAAAGTTCTTCTTATCTTTTTTTTAAAAACTTTTTTTTTTAAATTTATTATAAGATAGTATTCTTCTGAAAAAGATTTTTTTTAAGAAAGTTTTTAAATAAAAAATTATAATTTTAGTATATTTATATAATAAATATTATAATTAATGTTAAAAAATTAATTATAATATTAGTTGTATAAATCAGCTTTCTTTATTTTAATTATATTTTTATTAATTATTTAATAAATAATAATATTAAGCTTGATCTTTTTTAATTATTTAATTAGCTAATATTATTAATAATAAAAAAAATTTTATTAAATTTTTTAAAAAACTTTTCTAGACTCTTCTTTTTTTATTTTATTATTATAATTTATACAAAAACTTTTTTTATATTTAATTTTTTAAATAATTATTTTATTATATAATTTTATTTATTTTTTATTTAAATATAATCTAGAAAAATATATATTATTTAGTTTTTTTATAAAAATAATTATAAATATAATAAATTTTTTTTTGAAAAAATTCAAGATTTAAAAAATAAATTTAAAATTATATAATTAAATATTAAATAAAAAATAATACAGTCAGTATAAGTAATAATATAAAATATTATTATAAATTTTTTAGTTAGATTTATAGCTAAGTTTTTATTATTTAATATTTTTATTATTATTAATTAAAATATATTTATTAATTATTTAAATCTATTTATAAATTATATACTATTTATATAAATTTTTAAATAATATTTTAATTATTATAGATTATTAAATTAAGAGAATTTATTATTTTTATATCTTAAATAATTCTTAATTCTTAAAAGATTACTCTTTGATAATAATTAATTTCTAATATTAAAAAAATAAAATTAAGCTAATCTAATAATTAATTATTAATATAAAAAAAATTAATAAAAAAATAAAAATAAAAATATTTAAATTATATTGTTTTATTTTTTTTATACAGTATTATTTTTTATTTTATTTAATTATTTATTTAATTATAATATACTAAACAAAGTATTTATACAGATATTATTAAGTCTTTGGGATTTAGAGGGTTTATACAAGAACCCTATAACAGGATGGAGGTTTTACTTATCCATAAATTAGCTGATACATAAAGTCACTAACTAATACAGGTTAGAAACAGAAATAAAGAGTGCTGCATAGCCACACTAGAGACCTTCTGCAATAGTTATTTACTATTAATATTTTAATTCAAAATCAGATATAGCAGCCCGCCCCTGGTAATCAACTATAGAATTATTTAAAAAATAATTATAACTGATTCAGTGATTAATCTGCTTAATAAGATAAAAATCTTATTATTTAATAAAGTTATAATTAAGTAATATATTCTAGTTAAAAATAAGAATTCAGCTACTCTGATTAGCTAAATTATTTTATTATCTTAATAAATAGAAAGTATTCTCTGTCACACTCACAGCGCAGCATTGGGTACGCATTGTGATGCTAAACTGCTGCACTATCAACAAAAGGACTAGTATATAAAGCCGGTAGCTTTATACTGTATATATTATATAAAAAGATTTCAGAACAGAACAGGCAGGTTCAGAATAGATAATAATAGTAGTAGATATTATATTAATACTATCTCATACAACCAACCCCTAATATATATATACAGAGCAAATTAAGAATTATATTAATATAAAAAAGATTAAGAAAATCTTGCAGATATAAAGTTTAATAAAAAATAATTAGAATTATTAAAAACTAATTTTAATATTCAAAACTTTAGAGATTCAAGATTGTATTCTGAGTTAGAAATCTATCAAGAAGACTTGAAATTTTTAGAATAATAATTTATTTTATATTAATTCTTCTCTGTATATTTTCAAATATTAAAACTATTTAATTAGATAGCTAATATAGTCTTAATTTAATAAATATAATAAAATTTATCATGAAATAAGATTTATTGTGAGGTGTGGCCGACCAACACCCTTGCGGGTGTGGGGCGGCCAAGCAACTAGTGGTGTAGGCGACGAGTACCTGGTGTTCTAGGGTTTATCAAGGAGTCATTGACCAGCTTGTGCTTATTGTTAGTTCTTGGCTCTATTTATAGAGCCGTCCGCACTGTCGCCGCATTAATCATCTGATATAACTAACAGGAAAATTATTATTGTCTTCAGTTAATACACTAAAGCCTCCCCTTTCTTGGCCCAATTTGCGTTAACTTTAACCAAGATGGACCATAGTGACTCAGCATGTCCTTTCTGTTCATTCTCTAACCCTGACAGTAGCGTTGTTGCGGAGCATGTGGAGACTTGTCACCCCGAAGATAACATGCAAGTCTTATATGGTGCACAACCCGCAAACATGCTGGACATATCACCTAAATTGCAACAATCGCGACCGTCGCATGATAAGGAGGAATGCCCGGGCGGCTATACTGGATGTCCACACGGCTGTGGGGAGATAGTGACTGATGCTGAAATATCCTCCCACCTTGATTTGCACTTTGCAGAAAGTGTTGCTCTCGAAGACATGCCTGCATTGCCGGTAGAACGGCGCACTAATGCTGATAACCCACCACAAGAGCCAGGCGCAACAAGCCAGGCGCGGCTGGAAAAGGCGGCTCGAAAGTTACCGATTGAAGAGGATAGATCAGGTATTCCCTGGGTGCAAGCCGGGGACTCCAAAACAATGTACAGCAGCGGAATGAAACGACTTGGGGTATCGGACTCTTCAGCTGCCCTTATTCAATGTTATACACTAACATTAACCCTAGCGTACAGAGCTGGGCCCCCATGCTCATGAGAAACAGATGCCATCTTGGCTGCGAAAAATGCTAGAAAGGAACCCTAGATCAATGTTGTCGAACACGCTTGGCCTAGGTGGCACGTTTCGGAGACATGAGACGGTTGAAAATGAGACAAGCGATGTCATTCCGGTTCTTGCTCGACTGTGTGAGCAGGACAACTCAGTTCAGCGTGCTTTCTTCTGCAGTCCAGCGGTCCATCAGATCTCTAAAATTCCGAGGGAGGGTGGATTCTGTGGCTACAGAAATATCCAAATGCTAATATCTTACATGAAAGAAACCCGAATGTCGGGACATGAGTGCTTTCCTGGGGACCTGCCTACAATTTTCGAACTTCAGGACATGATTGAAGACGCATGGGACAAGGGCTTTAATGCTGCTGGGCGAATCGAGACCGGAGGCATTCGAGGTACCAGAAAGTATATCGGTACACCTGAGGTAGGATGAATCAATAATCATTGCTTGGTGGTAACCCCCTAATCATCTCTGTAGGCGCTAGCCCTCTTTTCAAGTCTTGAAATACAGTAATGTCCTCCCTGGAGTCCCGAGATATACAGCTCTAATATTCAACAGGTGTGAAGCCAATAGTATTGGAACAACAAATAACGTGCGCGCTCATGATGCTTTGTTCATGAACATTGCATCTTATTTCCGAAATGCATGTTCATTGGATGGAAGAAACAAAGTCATACAAACAAGCCTTCCCCCTATTTATTTTCAGCACCAGGGTTTGATAGCCTCCAACCATCCTTTTTAACTAGTAAAAGTATCATACCTAACATGTGTTTTATGGCCACTAGGACATTCTTTGACCATCATTGGCTTTGAAGTACGAGATAATGGTAGTGCAGACTTACTAGTTTTTGACCCGATGTTCAAGGCGCCACCGGCAGTGAAGCGTCTCAAGGGGACCAAAGCACTGACCCCAGACCCTGAGCGAATTTTGAAAGGGTATAGACGGGGTACAGCGTATCTGCAAAAATACAAAACATTTGAACTTCTCAAGTAAGCTTGGGTCTTGATAACGTTGGTGTCATTATTGTTGGGATGGCCAAGCTAATGGTCTCTAGAATCGCTTAATTTGCTTTATACTGGTACAGTCTCATTCACTGTAATAATAATACACAAGTGATTTTGAATAAGCAATGGGGAAAATACAGCCAGGCGTTTGTTACTCATGGGACCAAAGAATATTAACAAAGTCACAATGTCCAAATTCTTAGTACCTGTTGGCATTAGTACACGAGTGGAAATTGCTGTTGGCTACTCTGTATAGTCTTTATCATTTAAAAGTAAGAATACCAAAACTTGAGTAGTGCCTGAGTATAGATGTTGCCAGTATCCAGAGCTTCACACTACTACTACTACTACTACTACTACTACTACTACTACTACTACTACTACTACTACTACTACTACTACTACTACTACTACTACTACGACGTAGTGCAGATAGAGACGGCATATCGGAAAGTCTAAAATTCCGATTTAATGCCTGAGGAAGAAAGTACCCCACAGAAAAATTCCCCTTCTACCATCAACTCTATCTTAATCAGGCACCTCAAACAGGCAATTGACACAGTGATATTTAACTGGGTTCAGAATGCGAACATCTCCGAATGTGATAGTAACAGGCACGCCTGGCGTAGGAAAAACTGTTCACTGTGAACAATTGGCCCAGGAGACTGGGCTACGGCATCTTTCAATTAATCAGGTCGCGAAAGATCGGGGCTGCTATGAGACCTATGACCATGAGCTTCAAACCTGGGTCGTGGATGAAGACAAAGTACGTCCTGCATGACATTTGCTTTAAGCTGTGTACCTATTTGCCTGATAATTCCCATTTCGCTTTCATTCCAATTGCATCGCGCAAATCTAACTGAAATCTTGCAGCTCCTAGACGCTATTGAGGATGAGGTAATCCAGGGCGGCTATCTAATTGATTGGCATGCGTGCGATTTATTCCCAAGGTCTTGGATTGATCTGGTGGTGGTTTTGCGCTGTTCGTCGACATCTGTGTTATATGACCGTCTCGCAACAAGGTATTTATCAGGACGATTTCATCACTTGTTTTTTTTTTTGGCCAGCCGAACTGACTGGAGCCCGTCAACTACAGGGGCTATAACCAGACAAAACTGCAGGAAAACTTGGATGCGGAGATATTTGGTGTCCTTCTCGAAGAAGCTCGGGAAGCTTTTGACGAGGAAGTCGTGGTTGAATTGGATAGTGAAAAGGACGGTGATGTAGAGTCTAACTGCGCAAGGATTTCTAGCTGGGTGGCGTCTTGGAAAGAGAGCCGGGCAGATGATACGGACTGATGCACATGGGAAAGCCGAAAATCCACACCGTCTTTCAACAGGGACTCGGACGAGTAAAATCAATGGCCTCCATCGGTCAACCAATCCTGCAACTTGATCAGAGCTTTATATCTATGTGAAATAACATTCTGCGCTAATGTCAGTGACTGGCGAATAAAGCTGGTGGGCCTGTCATACTACCTTCTCCTTTTTGTCCATTTCAGCATATGTCTTGCCGTGGTACTCGAATATGGGATCCCAACCTAGGTTGAGTTGATCAGTATCGGCATGCACGTGGCCGTCACTATAACATACCAAAATTGGCTGGACCCCTGGGTCTCACAATAACTCCCTTGCCAAGGACGTCAGGTTCTAACAAGAAATGTGATTCTATTTGGATCTTACCTCTGTCCTACCTTGGAACAGGACGGGGTCTGAGCCGGGGCCACTGCAGAATGCAAATGTGCAAACAGCGTCTGCTTTCCTGGTCTCGAACGAGTCAAGGAGTTTATTTAGTCCTTCATGGCCCAGGGCGTCAAGGAACGACTTGCTTGATAAGTGTTATTACCAGCTCCAGAGCCTAAACAAAAAAAAGCATACATATATGGACCAGGAAGTCCTCCCAGCGCATGGAACTCAAGAGCAGTATCCTCCGTCAGAACCGGACCCCCGATCTAGCCGAGTCATGTCAGCGTGTTGTCTCTTGATCAAGATTTCCAGCCTCATCAAAAGATCTTGTCACTCACCGCATTTGCCGCACGTCGGCATTTCTCTGTCGCGATATCTTCGACTGTGCCTTGTATTTCTGGCAAGTCAACGGCTTGGTTCTCGACATCGATCAAATTTCCTAGGATCGCTTTCACTTCTGCCACCTTGTTCTTGTTACCGGTGATGAAGTTTAGCTTCGTCAGGGGGACCATGGCTATAACACAGGGTGGAAAGAGACGGAGAGGGTATGCGACGTGTCCGTAGAAAGCTGGCAGCTGCCTTTGAGGCTAGGATTGCTCGATGGTTGCTTTTGCGGCAGGTGGTTGGACTCTCAGAGTCGCAAGTCTACTAGATACGCACGGAGATTCTTGTCCCCCGCAGCCCCACCAACCCGCAGCCCCGTTCCTCGCAGGTATGAGAACGAGGTAGGAACAATTAATAGGCCGCATTACATCTGGCTGAGCAATTCAGAGACAGATTGGTGATAAGACATAGACACTCATCATCATGGCTTCTAAAGGAAATAAATACATCACTAATCCTCATGTACAAAGCGCTAGTCATTAGACACTACGCCACCTTCCACCATCTCCAACCTTTCCTGCTGAGCCATCGCTTGAGCCGACACAATTTCAGCCAGCCGCTTTAGTCGGGGTGTTTGGAGCCCTTCAAAACTATTAGCAAAAATGTGACACCTTTGACTACCTCATTGACTTACATGATGGTGTGTATGTCTCCAAAGCTGTAATGACACGTGGCTCCGCGATCTCATACGGACCACTGTCTTCCATATCAACGGGCGTGAGAAGAAGCACATCGCTCTTCTCTGTGACACGAGATGCCACAGCTTTCATGATTTCACCATTGATAGGCTGCTCATAATCGGCCACAAGATATTGGTTCAGAAGTTTCTGTATTTGGTTTGGAGAGAGCCTAGATAATGTGTATTAGCACTGCGCATCTCCTAAGAGAATGAAAAAGTTGTAAAACTCACATCCAACAAATATCCTGTATAATTTCAATGTCATTCAATGTTGCCTTCTTGAGCTGAAGAAGTTTTGTTGCTTGCTGCAAAGGTTTCATGATCAGCGGCGGTATTCTTTCTTGGCTATTTAGGTCTTCCTCACCATCAAATGCTCGAGCTGGAGTGTGCCCTCCGGCATATCGTGGCTCTTACACCACTCCTCAATCCGGGTAATGTTGTAGTTGATCTGTAGACCACGTTTCCAAGAGAGAAAGTTTCTCCGCATGAGAAGGTCATTGAAAGCCGTGACACCAACGAGGCGAAGAAGTTCGGTGACGGTCTGCGTTATGATAGAATCTTCAAGATAGAAAGCTTTCATGGCCTTGTAGACGTTGTTCAAGAGACTGAGAAGATTATCCATGCTGTACGCTGGATTGTTGTTGGAGGGCAAAAGCTTCCCGAGGAATCGATTTGTCTCACTTGTAACAAATCCCGGAAGAGACTGAGATTCGATAATTGCTGGCACGATCATTTTGTAAAGTTTCTTCTTTAGCACTTTCATCCACGTGTGATAGATGTTGAACTCTAGGCTTTCCAAGTCATGCTTCACAATTTCCAAGAGACGGTCATACTCGAAATTGTCGGTCTTCTGAGCTTCGTACCAATCCTCGGCCAAGAATACAAAGGAAAGCATCTCATGGACGTTGGAAAGCCAAAAGGCGCCAGGGTTGATAGCATCATCGCCATCATGTTGCATAACTTCTTGTTGAATTGATTGCATCACGTTGGCCAAAAAGCGTTCGGATTCTTTCACAAACCCGTTATTCCACATCTCCGAGGTAACAAGATTTATCAGATAGGCCGGGAACAGAACCTCCTTCTCCGTGGGTGGTGGAGTAGAGCTGGGTAGCGGGATCTTGAGGTTGCGTATCAGACCCATTGTCACCTCCTCATTCAAGTCCTCTTCTTCAGACAGCAAGTTCTCAAGTTCCACCTCGACAGAATCCAATCCCGGAGAAAAGGCATTGCCCGAAAAGTGCTGACGACCCATGGCTGAGCTGGGGATGGCCATCGAAACAGGCCTAGGGTTGTAGGCTCCGCTAAAACGATCAATATCAATTTTTTCCGCACCAGCACTGCGTCTTTTAGGCTTCGGCTTCTTCGAGGAAACAAGATTTATCAAGCCGTTTGCCGGAGGTTGAATAGGCCCGCCATTTTGCTGGTCCCCGTTCAGTCCATTTGCAGGTATGACTCTCTTTGCAACCTCAAGTTGTTCTTCGAGATCGACAATTTGCTGGCGAAGGGAAGCCTTCTCGTTTTCAGCCTCAGTATTTAGCTGTTGGAGCCTCTCCAACTCCTGATTAGTAGAGCGAATGGATTCTCGTGAAGCCTTCTCCTCTTCCTGGAGGCGTTTAATCATTGCCTGTGCATCGCTATGGTTTTGCTGTAGCTTGCTCATCTCATCCTCCAGTGCGGTCAATCGAGCAGCAGTGATACCCGCCTGGTTTGCTTCAGCCTGTAGTTCTCTTGAGCGATTTTCCAGCACATTGTGGCGGCTTCTCCAAGATTTCAATTGGGTCTCATAATTTTCCAGTTGTGAATTCAACGACTTGTTTTCACGCTTCAAGGATTCGAGGTATTGAGTCAGCTCTACCACCTTATTTTCCAGTTTGTAGGAGATCTGCTTTAGGTCCCTCGCGTCTTCACGAAGCTTTTTGTATTCTTTCCTCGCCTCTTTACCTCTCCAAAGATTCTGAACAATGACCACCTTTCGTCGATATTGCCTCCAGGCACGCAACTGTCGCCAAGATCGGAAAGATCGCTGTATCACCTTCGCCGCATTACCATGTATAGTATCCAGGATACTCTGCCGACAGAGGAAACCCTTTGCGACTGATTGGAAAAGGACAAAATTGGCACGGATGTGATTGTAGGCCCTCCTTTCCTTTTGTCCTCTCCACACTCTCTGGATTGTCGTGGCAGATTTGATTTGGCGTATCTCAGCGGCACGCTGCCTTGCCAGGAACCCTCTCACCAATGCCTGCGTAGTGAGAATGGAAGCACGAGCTTCAAGATACCTGCGTCGGTAATACTTGCATCGCAAGTTTTTCTGAATCATCACTGCGCATTCATTCAATCTGGATGTGCGAAGGTTTTCCAGGAAAGCAAGCATGCCTGCCCTAAAGAATATTTTCGTCAAACCCAACTGGTATTTATCTTGCTTTTGCTGAGTACCATCGCCGAGAGCTTTCTGTAGAATAGCATGGCACATGTCCCTAATTTCCGACGTCCACTGCGATGAATGACAAAGCATATAGTATCGAATCGCAAACTCCTCGTAGGTCCAGCGGGTAGGATAACCGGCAGTACTGATTCTGACAGTTTCAAGAACACCACAGGCTCTCAACTGACTGAGAACCATTGGCCCTTCGAACTTCCAAGACTCTTTGGCTTCATTAGGCTTGATGCAGCGTATGTAGTGTACGTCAGTGGAATTGATTGTATTCATGAGTTCAATCAAGGATGACTTGAAAATGCCGCCCAGCGTTGGCTTGCGATTGACAGCGACTCCAATCTTCCGCCCAGGAGCCGCGACAGGCTTAGATGAAATAGATGCCGAATCTTTCTCGCGAACGGCGGCTGCCGTGTCTAAGATATCTTTCACAAATTCATTGGAAGAGCCGCGCAAGATCTCCATATGCTCGTCTGGAACAGTGTCCCTGTTTTTTTCTATGAATCCATCGGACTCGTAGGTTACATCAACTGCATAATGGCATATTGTGAACGCGGACTTGCCAAACCGGGGCTTCTTATAAAACTTCTGCTTATCCGCAGCAAAATTGTGGTGAAGTTTGGTGACAAATTGTTCATCGGAACCCATTGGCAGACGGGATTCTTCGTCCAGGAGGGACAAGATACCTAATTTTGCTTCGATCAGGTCAATACAAGGCTGGTTATCTGAGAAGTCGATGAATGTCCAGTCTATCTGTTCCCGGACATATTCTTCTTGTTCAAGCTTGAAAACATGCTGATTGAACTCTTGCTGCAACTTTTCATTGGCGTAGTTGATGCAAAACTGTTCGAACGAGTTTTTTGCAAAATGCTCAAACCCGTAGATATCCAAGACGCCAATGAAGGACATGAACTTGTTCAGAACCTTATCGGTAGCCAGACCGGAATTGATCCTATCGACAAGCCAGTCAAAAAGACTAGAATAAATGAATTTTGCAACAGAATCCCTGACAACTGTGGCTTGTTGTGCCGTCAAGTTGGACGTAATCTTTTCCCCCCGAGTAATCAACTGTTTCTTGACTATCCATTTAGCGAACTCATTGACGTCAATCCCAAGCATTTCGCAAGCGCGGACAAGCGAGGGTTCGGAAGAAGACAGGCTGGAGTCTGTCCTTGTGGCAGTGATCTTAACATTCCCAAGGTGTAACAAAGCTGCAAGGACTCGGAATATTTCAACTTGCGTCTTTTCCGGAACCCCTATGGTGCTCAGCGATTTCTTCGTTGCATTGAATTCGGCCTTGTCGTCAACACCGTCAATTGTTGGTGTTCCACCTTGACTGAGGTAGTCAAAATCCTCGATAGATGCAAGACCAAGTTCTTGTCTTTCATGTTCTGTGGCACCGGCAACAAGTTGATAGAATATATGATAATTTCGCTCTTTGAGTGGCTGGAACACAAGTCGGGACCTCTCCAGAAGGTACGTTCTTATCTTTGCACCAATTATATTGGTCTTGTCATCGAACATTATCTCGATGTACTTTCCAAAGCGCGAAGAGTTATCATTGCGTGTGGTTTTGGCATTTCCGAACGCTTCCATAACAGGATTTGTGGCCAATATTTGCTCCTCGGTCTCACTGATTGCATCGGCTCGACTTGTGGTATATTTGCCTGGCTGGTCAGAGGACTCACGGGTTGCGAAATACCGCATGATGTACTTGGCGCTGACAGTTTTCCCAGCACCCGATTCACCAGAAACCACAATAGTCTGGTTCTTCCCATCACGCAACATGTCACTGTGTGATCAGTTGTGAGTAACAAAACAGGCACTAAGGAGACAGCAGCTCTTACGCGAAAGCTTCCTCGGCAATAGCAAATAAATGTGGCGCCTGTGATGCCCTGTGTTTTCCTGCATATACTTGCACCATTTGTGGGACATAGAGTGAATCTACCCGTGCAAATGGATTAGTAGCGATGAGAACAATGCCACTATATGTATATATTTCCTTTTGCGCATAACGTAATTTTATAGCCTGCAAAACTTCAAGATATTCAGCAAATATGAGTACTATAGGTCAAGAAGAACGCATACCAGCTGGTTCATTGAGGTGAGACAGGTTTGTAAGGTCTTCACTGGCTTCGAGCATAGCAGGATTCATCAACGGAGGCAGCTTTGGGTTGTTGTCTACCTGCAGCTCAAACTGGGTGGTTTCCAGGGTTTTTGCCTTCGTCATAAACTGGTCAGTGTTGTGAAACCATGCTTGGTAAACTTTGACACGAACCTCCCCATTTTCCATCAAAAAGACGAGTCGCACTTTGTCCCCCTCAACCAACCTCTCCTTGACTTCAGATGCAACCCATCCCTCGGTTGGGTCAGGCTGCCAGGCCCGTGTTCCGACCTCGTAGCTGTGCGCCATTAAGTAATCGTTTCTGGATATGTTGACCGCTAATATTTTACTGAAAGCTGAGCAAGCAACTTATGCGGGACGTTTGATGGCTCTGTTTGGAAGATCGATGTTAAAGGCATCTAGCAAAGAGATGATGACCTAGCACAACTGATTGATCAAATGGAGACAAATAACCCGTCCGATGGATCACGTAACTGACGGGTTCTCTTATTGATGTATAGGTTGAAGGCAAGCTTCATGCTTCAGTCGAAGGAGAAATTCCTGGGCTGGTTAACAGCTGGCGTTACCGAGCCGCAACCCCTGAGGCGGCGCCTGGAGAACCGCGCCACTTGTCGAAAGGATCCCCACAGTTGTCAAAGCTAACGCCAAGAGCCGGGAAACAAGAACATCATTGGTGACCGGGATGAAGTATCACTCTGTACTCTCAGCTTCCTTATGTAATGTTATTGATGAGACATAAGAAGAGTATCTACAGAGTGCGGAGTAGACAGGCACCATATATAATGATCTTAATGTATGCACGGCTGTCAGCCCGACAAAGCAGGTATTACTGCTTCTTGTACGGAGTATTCCGTAGGAGTATATGGAAAGGAATGTGTCCCGCATAGGCGGTGAGGAGCACGTTGTAGGTACGGCCACTCAAACACCTTATCTGATAACCTAATGAAGAATTGTATTTATCAACAGTAAAAGGCATTTTATTTCTCAGTCATATCAACTAGTAGGGGCTTTACATATTATATTAGCATATAGAATTATGAAAATGTAGGGGGTGCGCAGGAGGAGTACTTGTATAAATCTGGAACGACCGCGGTGAATGGCTTTTGCTTACACACATCCTTACCACACCGCATATTTCTGCCCCCCATGCCCACCACTAGTAGTAGTACTAGTAAATACTAGATAGTGCCAGACCCAAATTTATTTGTACTGGTTCTTGACCGCTTTTATCTCGCAGTACGAAGTACACTTACAGCAGCTCCTTTCACATACCCACCAACAAGATAGCCAAAGCTTTGAAACCCATCTCATACATCTCAAGCATCGGTACGGAGTGATCTTGTGATTTATGGAAGTACGTTGCTCAGAGCCACAGCTCTTGTATGGTGTGGGTATACGCCGTATCCAAACTAGTACCTACTAGGGGGCTAAGAGCTCCTCGGACTCCCAGCCTTTCTAGATGCTGGAGCTGGTAAGGTTGCATGAATACGTACAGAGCAAGGCTATTACCTATACTTCATATACGGAGTATAGTAATTTATAAAAGGAGAGAACGGGCTGCAGGGTAATTATATTTTTACACCGGGCTGCTGCCCCGTAGATACCGTACTTGGTTTTGTTGTTAAATAAAATATAAAGTAAATTTTTAATATTCCCTACTCGCCATCCGTACCAGTAAGAGCTTTGCTCTATACCTAGTATAAATTATAGAAAGCTTTCGAACCTGCCTGCGCGTAGTAAAGTAGGTAGCAATACGAAGTAGCATACTATTATTACATACTTTAGAGCAACAGTAGCATTTGTATAAAAAGGTCTCAATCCTGACAAATCTGATTTGAAATCGACCAAAATCCTTTCCTAAATTACCATATACATACAGAGCTTCGCTACAATAAAAGTGCTTGACTATGTTTGCAAAACAAAATACCAACTGCTTGATCATAGATAAACCGCCCTGTGGAAAAGACATGCATGCCATTGTTGGCATGCGTGTGGTCTTCTTGCGGCTGCTAAAACATTGAGCTAGAATATATGCTGTTTTAGACAAAGTTAATTAAAAGCTAAGACACTAACGAGACGAATAGCTTTTACTCTTCATCGCCGACGATTGAGTCGACTGATGGCCTGCACGTACTCATCGAACTAAATCTGAAGGAGTATGTTCATACTTGGCACAATTGCTTGGACACAGGTATGGACGGAAAGTGATTAGAGATATGAGCCAGACAATCTGAGGCAAGATTAATAAGTGAAAATGAAAACATTAGAATAAGAAGGAACATGGAGAGGGACAAGTAAAGACAGTATAGCAAAAGATAAACACCTCATTAGAGGCTGGACTCGAGGGGTCGGTTTACACTCGGAGCTTGCTTCTTTTCTCGATGGATATCCTCAGCTCTGTTTACATTCAGCAGCCTCTTTCTTTGGCTTGGAAGTTCCGTCCTGTTCTGGAGTCAGTATGATAGCTTTGAGAAGAGGATAATGGTAACGAAGGAGACGCTTACTTCTTCATCAGAGTCATCATCAACTTCCCGGTCGGATCTGTCATCATCGTCCTCGTCCTCATCCTCGTCCTCGTCTTCATCGTCCTCATCATCAAATTCATCCTCATCCATGTCATCACCCAGTTCCTCAAACTGAAGGGCCTCTCCTGTAAACCAATCAATAGCTCTAGGTATGAGTTTCTCCTTGATGTCTTCGCCAAGCTGGTAGTCAAGTTCCAAACGCTCCTCGATATCGGTAGCAACAGTATCATCGTCAGTCGGGGGCTGCGGAGGAGAAAAGAAGTTGAAAAATGACTCCGTGGGGACAGCGATCTTGACAACCCGAGTCTGCTTAGTATCTGCAAAATATTAACCATCAAGTCCACCAGTTGAATTATTTCACAACTTACTCTTGTTTCTCTGCTTTTTGCTCTCGACACGCACGGTGAGGTCTTTGTCGGTCTTCCAATCGATTTTAGAGCCTTCGGCATGGTCATAGATAAAATCACCCCCATAGCCATTCTCTTCCTTGTAGTAGTATGTTTTAGAGATGACCTTGTTCGTGAAAAAAACGTTCTCGGAAAACTCAAAGATAAGACGGAATCCTGGGCGATCAAGATATTCCATACGGATATCAATGAGAGACTTCAGGGCCTCTTCATCGCGTTCGGTGATCATCTCCGCAAGAGAAATTTGGTTCTTCATGGCCGAAAGCCAAAACTCAGGTATACCGGCAATGGATGCGTCTTTGTCCTCTTCCTTGGCACTTTCACTATCATCTTTGGTGTCAATATCCTCGTCGTCGCCCTGCCCTGCTTCGATTTCATTGTCGGTAGGCTCTGCAGCTCCATTGACTATCGTAGCACGTCTCTTATACAGAGGAGTGAACTTTGCGAAGTACTTCTTCTCAAGCTCCAAAACCTCTTCCTGGAACTGAGCCTCCAATGTAGCGTGCTCCTTCTGGATACCTTTTAAACCAGCGACACGCCGGCGGACTGACACAGGCAAGGATTCAATGTAGCCCGAAGAACGGCCAACAAGGGATCCCAATTTCCCCTGTATCATCGAGACAAGCGCCGGGTTGCGTGCAAACAGAGAAGCTGCTGTGGCATGGTCAAGGGACTCTATGGCAGTTGATTGGGGTTAGATGGATACTTCCTGGAGAACATGGGTAAAATAAGGAAATCACCTTCTTTGATGCTGGCTATTCCAGGCTGCTGGGCATGAGAAGAGATGGGGGCATTGTTGGCCGGGGTATTCTGTGGTGTCCTGTGGCCGCCACATGTCATCAGAAATCTAGACATAGCATGCGGCAAAATTCGGCAGACTTTGTTAAAGAACAAGGGATACTTACGGGGCCACGGGGAAATCCGCCTTCTTATTCCTGATGGGCTCAGACATGGTGAAAATGTTATTTTAAACAATAACACGAAAACAAAAAAAAGATGGCTGAGGGGCTGTTGGCGGAGGTTAAGGAAGAGTTTGATACGCCTTAGTTTTGCGAGGTCTGGAATACTGGCTTGGTGGGATCCTTAGCGCCCTTGGGCCGAGGGGCTTGGCGGGACGGGGGCGCTGCCTGTTGAGAACTTTTCCAGACTCCCAACAATACTGTATCAATGGCTGGTGCGGACAGGTAAAGAGATACTGTTTTTCTATAAGAAATACACGTCCATTTCGATAAACTAATCCAGAGGTTGTGAACAAATGCCCAAAAAGCTCGGAACTACACTCCAGCATATCAATTTACAGCCAGTACGTTTTATCGCTCTGCCCCAAGACAGTACCTTAGATATATACCTACGGTAACGTATGAATCGCAAGGCATGTTGCAGTAAACTAAACATTGGGACATTGTGTAGCCCACCCACATAGGCAGTATCACCTTGGAAGAGTACCGATGTTTTCACTATATAGAGTAAATCTACCATTAACCATATCTTTTTAATACTGTATTGGGAAGAGATGAGGATATTAGTCCAGGTAGCAATATGAAACAAGGAAAGCCAAACATAGATGCTTCATGGAGTGCCGAAGATAATTGGCTCCCAATCTGCAAGAACAACATTTCGATGCAAATAGGTACGCAAGGGGAAAGAAGCGCTGTGGGCGCTATTTTTATAGCCAAGTGGCTGGGGCTGGGAGCTTGGAGGCTCCCAGATACTACTCCGTAGTCCAAGCATCTTTGTAACTACGTACTACTTGCGAGATTACCAAACCTCTCCAAGCCTCAAGAATTCACGACATCACGTGAAGATAAGACACTGATGTTACTCGATTCCAAAGTCGGCCATTAATGGGAAACAATTTGATTATCGAAGCCCCCTCTTTACCACTTGAGCGAGCTGACCAAACGGCATGTTCATGGACATTGTCCTAGAATACCTTCCAATTACTATCTAGAGTGGACTTGCTCGAAATGCAACGAACTGCATAATCATTATCATTGTCACTTCCCACGTACTGATGTCCAAAACCAGGCACATATTACATTTTCTCAGATTAGGCACCAAGAGTCGAAATTATTCATCTTCGGCAGTATGGAGAACAACGCCAACCCATCGATGGAAGTTTTTCCTCCTGTACTTTCTCCCGGAATCAATGATCGACGCAGCTCCATGAGAAGCAGGTACTTCTCAATACACAACAACTTTCCCAGGCTATGCTGATGATTGCCAAGCTATAGTTTCATTTCAGATGTTGAAATGGCTCGCAGCGAGGTGCGCCCACCCAGAATCATGCGTATGGAATAACCGTGTAACTAGCTCAACAGATTTATGATGGTCCGATATCCGAAAGCATCCCATCCAGCATTGTCTCCTTTTCCCACCGTCGTAACCGGAATGGCTCTACTGCCAGTTTCACGTACTTTCAAGAACATGATGAGCACATGGAGTGGCCCAACGAAACCGCCATAGATGCCGACAGTGATGTTGATGATGTGTCGGAGTTTGGCGCCAGCATGAGGAGCGAGTCCATGAGATCTTCTAAACGACCGTCATATTCTAGAGATTCTGTCGAAGATCCACTTCTACAGCGATCATTCTCCGCCGGCTCCTATCCCCAGGGGTATAAAAGCGACAGGAGAGTAAGCCAGAAAGTCCACATCATTTCTGAAGACTTGACTATTGCGATTGCGGGCTTCTCGACGAGCCTGGTCGGCCAGTTATTGTATTATGTACTGTGTACATTTTCCTTTGGAATTTTCTACCTGTGGTTTCGATGGTTTCCAAGATACCGGGTTCGCTTGCTGGGAAACCCAACTCCTCTTCAGGCATGTGATTGGGTCGCATTGGAGGTATGCATAACAGAGCACTGTCATATTGCTTTCCTGCTGACCCCGAGTAGGATCAATGGAACCAATTCAGTGTCCATCAGGTGCATAAGCAAGAATATGGCCGCCCTCTTTCCTCAGTTTTTACCGACCCGGAATGCCATCTTTATGACGAAGACAATGATTCAACCATCTCATGGTTACGATACATCGACTACAGATATCTTCGACTATTCTACCATCCCACCGAAGACAAGTTTTGTTTGATCAGTGGTTGGAAGGATCCATTCTGGACAAATGCGAAAGAGATGAGAACTGGACTGGATGCCGATGACCGTGATAGTCGCGAGCAGGTATTTGGAAAGAATCTCATCGATATTCATCAGAAGCCCGTGTTTCAACTTCTAATGGACGAGGTACTTTTTCAATACCCCAGTATGCTAGATTGACATTCTCACCTTCTCAGGCATTTCATCCATTCTATATCTTTCAACTCGCAAGTCTCGTTCTTTGGTCCCTCGACCAGTACTACTATTATGCTATCTGCATATTTTCCATCTCTGTTATTAGTATATCTGCTACTATCATTGAGACCAAAACAGTATGCTTTCTCAATTACAAGTTTGTCCTCGTATACTAATTGTACCAGACGATGAATCGGTTACGGGAAATATCCTTGTTTGAGTGTGATATACGTGTGCTGAGAAATGGTTTCTGTAAGTTCAAAAGCTTTTCGTTGCTCTTTTGCTTCTTAAAAGTGGTTTGATTAATGACATATCCCCTCGGCAGGGAGATCCGTTCCCTCTCGCGAACTAGTGCCTGGTGATGTCTTTGAATTCTCTGATCCTTCACTGAGTCATGTCCCCTGTGACTGCATATTGCTGTCTGGTGACTGTATTGTGAATGAAAGCATGCTTACAGGTTTGATATTCAATATGTCTAAACATCCAGAGAAAAGCCTAACAGGTAGCAATAGGTGAATCAGTCCCTGTTTCGAAAGTTCCGCTGACAGATGACGCTCTCAATTATCTGAACCTGGGGGCTCCCTCAATTCATCCTGTGCTCGCAAAACATTTCTTGTTCAGTGGAACAAAGGTAATACGAGCACGCCGCCCACAAAATGTCGATGATGATGAAGCTATTGCGTTGGCGGTAGTTGTAAGAACAGGGTTTTTGACAACCAAGGGGGCCCTTGTTCGGTCCATGCTCTTCCCAAAGCCTTCAGGATTCGGATTTTATCGAGACTCATTTCGTTATATTTTTGTTATGGCTATGATTGCAATTATAGGCTTTGTAGCCTCATTAATCAATTTCATCCATCTAGGCGTAAGTAGAACGTGATACGACCAACCAAATACTTGGCAGCTAACAAACTTCAGCTTTCCTGGCATCTAATCATTGTTAGAGCTCTCGACTTGATCACTATTGTTGTGCCTCCAGCTTTACCGGCCACACTAAGTATTGGCACAAACTTTGCTCTGTCACGACTAAAGACGCATAAGATATTCTGTATTAGTCCACAAAGGTGAGAACAATTACAGTTCACTTGAAGACCTGTTTTTAACTGTCGAATAGAGTCAATGTAGGAGGCAAACTTGATGTCATATGTTTTGACAAGACTGGTACCCTCACAGAAGACGGCTTGGATGTCCTAGGAGTGCGGATTGTTGGCCATGACAAAAGGTTTGCATTCAATAATACCGATCCAGTTACACTATGTTGCGTCACACCTGCTAAATTTCATAGACTTTCGGACTTGCTCCCTAAGCTACCGCTTAATTTGGGAATGTCAAATGATTTGGGCACCATTCGGAGCACTAGCGCATATAAAAATACGGTGTACACCATGGCAACATGCCACTCTTTGAGAGTTATAGACGGTGAACTTCTAGGTGACCCCCTTGATGTCAAAATGTTTCAGTTTACCGGATGGTCCTTCGAGGAAGGTGGGAGTCATACTGAGCAGCCGGATTTCGAGACAATACTGCCTTCTATTGCAAGGCCCCCTGCAGGTTACACAAGTGTTCAACAGCAGGGCAGTTTAGATGTCAGGGGCCTTTTTCCTTCTAAATTGACGCCCTTTGAGTTTGAGAGAAAGCTGACCGTCCTGTATGCAGACCCCAATAGAGCTCGGCATCCTACGCAGCTTTGAATTTGTATCACAACTTCGCCGAGCGAGTGTAGTTGTAAGGCAATATGGCGACAGTGGCGCTAGCACGTTCGTCAAAGGTGCACCAGAAAGCATCAAAGCCATATGTCTTCGAGAGAGCTGTCAGTACACGTTAAGGATTGAATTGTTTTATCAAGCAGCTAATGCGAGATTTCATAGTACCTTATGATTTCGATGGCCTCTTGAGTCACTACACCAATAAGGGATTCCGTGTCATCGCATGTGCAGCAAAATACGAGCCAAAATTAAGTTGGATGAAAGCACAGAAAATCTCCCGAACCGAGGCTGAATGCGACCTGGAATTTCTTGGATTTATCATCTTTGAAAATAAATTGAAGCCAAAGACTGCTGATACTATCATGGAATTAAATCGGGCAGGAATACGCAACATCATGTGTACAGGTGATAACATACTCACTGCAATTAGTGTCTCACGTGAGTGTGGTATGGTTATGGGCGAGGAACAATGCTTCGTTCCTAGATTCGTGCAAGGTAGGCTATCATTCCCTACATGACCTTCAACTCCATTAACTCTTGTATTAGGTGGTTCTCTCGACCATGGTTTGGACTCATCACTTTGCTGGGAAAGTGTAGATAATCCAGCATTGAAACTCGACCCCAATACCCTTATGGTGAGTCACCATCATTTATAAAGAAGAATATATCTAAGAGCCACTAGCCTTCGCTTGATCCCACAGATGTTGATTTGTCTATACCTGGGAATGTTTGCAGCCTCCGCAAGTACTCTCTTGCCATCAGTGGAGATGTGTTCAGATGGATTGTGGATTTTGGTAGTGAATCACTACTGAAAAGGGTATGTACATTTCGGCTATTTCGCCCCAATTCTCCATACATTAAGTAACCTAGATCTTATTACAATTTCTACTTGCAGATGCTTGTACGTGGCAAGGTGTTTGCGAGAATGTCGCCCGATGAGAAGCATGAACTTGTGGAAAAACTCCAATCTCTGGACTATTGTTGTGGATTTTGCGGTGACGGTGCTAATGACTGTGGGGCATTGAAAGCTGCTGATGTCGGCATTTCACTGTCAGATGCTGAAGCCTCAGTTGCCGCTCCGTTCACTAGCCGTTGTTTTGACATATCATGTGTTCCAACGCTGATCAGGTATCCTTTACTTTTGTGCCGTATGAAGCGATCGAACTGACAGTGTTGTAGAGAAGGTCGAGGTGCCCTGGTCACAAGCTTTTGTTGCTTTAAATACATGAGCCTTTATTCAGCAATTCAATTTTCGACCGTCAGTTTCTTATATGCATCGGCATCAAACCTTGGTGACTTCCAGGTAATCGCTTTCACTTTTCTCTACACAAACAGCCCCACTGATGAATTACCAATAGTTTCTTTTTATTGATTTGTGCCTGATTCTACCAATCGCGATATTCAGTAAGTGCATCATCTCATAAAAGACCTAGAGAGGGGAATCCATATTACAAGCATTACAACTGACGGTTTTCGAAAGTGGGATGGACCAATCCATATCCTGTCCTTTCAAGAAAACGACCGACTGCCAACCTTGTATCGCGCAAGGTTTTGACACCACTTTTAGGTCAAATAATATTATGTGTTCTCACCCAACTTTTGGCTTATGAAACAGTCCGGTTACAACCGTGGTGTGTATAGATTTACCTTCGTGGATACACCTTACTCGTAAGGCACTTATTGACTTCTACCTGCAGGTTCCAGCCTCCTCTGATAGATTTGGAGGAGAGCAACATTGAAAATTCCGAGAACACTGTGCTTTTCCTGGTGTCTAGCTTCCAATACATACTATCAAGTGTTGTTCTCAGCGTTGGGCCGCCCTTTCGTAAACCAATGAGCTCGAACAGTCAGTCATCATTCATATTCCAACTCATACAATTGCTGATATTCAACAGAGCCATTCCTATCCGTCATAATTATAAATCTGGGAATCTCATTCTACATGATGTTCAACCCCTCCCGTTGGCTGAAGCAGGTTATGCAGTTGACATACATACCAGAAGGCTTTGCCTGGTGGATGTTGGCAATTGCCACTGCGAGCTTTCTATTCTCTTGGGTAGCTGAGAGGAAGCTTTTCCCTATATTGGCTCGTACTATGGGGCACATACATGCAAACCTCCGTGCCGGTCATTCTAAAAAGCGCCGCCAATACAAGGCGCTGCTCGAGGAAATGCAAGGATAAATAAAAGTCCATGTGCTATTTGACCCAGGTAACTATTCCATTGTTTCAAGTGTCGAGCGGCAAGATGGAGTGCGATTCTGGATTTGAACTTTGTTTCGGGCAACTTCATGTGAAGGTGCCGAGGATTGAGGTCTCACGTGCTCAATGGTCCCAAGGATGCTTCCAACCCAACAAAGCAGGGCCATCCTTCTTAGCTCGATACATTAGCTGCATATGAAGAAGAAAGTAGTTAGCATTTATCACAAAAGAGGATTGTGGGAGATCCGTACAAAGAACCACATGCTAGCTCCTAGAGCAGTTGCAGTAAAGCGGTAAAGAGGTCGCGCAGGATGAATGTGGATTGGGTGGTTAGCAGCCATGTCTGTTCAATGCATGTTAGCCCCGAGAAGAAAGATTGCAATGAATTTATGAGGTTCGTACTTTCCTGCCGTTGGACAACGTAGCGAATAGAGCAGATCCACCGTTATCGTGGATGATAGATACTAAGGTTTGAGTATGAGTTCTAGTAGGCGGAGTCGGACAGAATGTCACGTGGCAACCAACCCAGATTCCTGGCTTGAAGTAGATGTGAAAGGCACGCTACATGGACAGTTCTACTTGTACTAACATCTTTTTAATCAGGCTACTGATGAAATAAAAGTCATCCAGAACAATTTGCTCTGATAAGGCACTATGTTGCCTGCAGGTTTAACAATATTTTCTCTCATACTGTCTTGAGTCGCTCTTTACTTCCCTTGTCATACCACTGGCCTCTCTGGATACTTACAAATCTTCGTCGGTTGATTCGGGCCGGTTCTCATTGAACACTTCAACCTTGCCATTTCGCTTTATATCTCGAGGAGGGTTTCGGCTACCAGGTCAAGACACACAAGTATCCACTGTTGCCTGGCACGGATACCTCATTCTGGACTTCAAGTCGGCCTAGGCTGGTGTTGGGCAGACGGGTGGCCATATCTGAACACCCACCACATAGCATTGATATTCTTATCCACATATGATTTACTGCCGGTGAGGAGCAAAGTGTTGGCGGAAAATGGTTATAATATCCCTCGAGAGAGAAAGCAATGGCAAGACCAGATTCCGCGGATGTACCAGCATTCGTGATTTTGAGTTCTTGGGTAAGCTTGGTGAAGGTACTTTTGGGTAGGTTTCATAAAACTGGCGAATGTGCCTGCGTATTGAAAATATCTAGGGAGGTCTACAAGGCACGGTCGAAAAAAGACAACACTGTCGTTGCTCTCAAAAAAATACTCATGCACAACGAGAGAGATGGGGTAAGAGAATCAGACTCACTATCAGGCCACTTTGGTTGATTATTGTCAAAGTTCCCTATCACCGCTCTCCGCGAGATCAAGCTCTTGAAGATGTTATCTCACACAAACATCCTACAACTCAGAGAAATGGCCGTGGAACGGAGTAAAGGTAAGCAAAAAATACTGTCGCAAAAAGGAACTCGCTTATTCAAACAAAGGAGAAGGACGAAAAAAGCCTAGCATGTACATGGTTACCCCATATATGGAACACGACCTTTCAGGTCTCCTGGAGAATCCGACTGTTCATTTTACTGAGGCTCAGATCAAGTGTTATATGGTACAGCTCCTGGAGGGGCTCAGGTATTTACATGAGGTATCGATATATATAGTGGGGGTGGAACGGGGGCGCAAACCAGTATGTTCTGACTTTTGACAGAATCGTATCTTACACCGTGACATGAAGGGTTTGTGTGGCCGCAGATAGCGAAGAAGAAATGACCTTGACTAACAGTTCTGATAGCCGCCAATTTGCTTATCAGCAACAAAGGCATACTTCAAATTGCTGACTTTGGCTTGGCTCGACCATATGAAGAACCCCCTCCTCAGCCTGGAAAGGGTGGCGGAGAAGCAAGACGAGATTATACCACCCTTGTCGTAACTCGATGGTACCGCCCTCCTGAGCTTCTTCTTCAGCTTCGGCGTTATACTACGGCGATTGATATGTGGGGTGTCGGGTAATTGAAATCACCAGTATCGGATGGTCTCTTTCTAATTTCTATAGATGTGTTTTCGGTGAAATGTTCAAAGGAAAACCAATACTTGCTGGTAACAGTGATCTCAACCAGGCTCAACTCATTTTCAGCCTGGTAGGCTCACCTACCGAAAGGAATATGCCAGGGTGGAGTTCACTACCAGGATGTGAGGGCGTAAAGGATTTCGGGAACAGACAGGGCAATCTATGTGAAGTCTTCAAAGGGTATTTATTGACTTCCTCTTCAAATATCCATGCGAATAAGCGCCTGATGCATTAGCAGCCAAAGCCCCGCCGCAATATCGTTGCTTAGTGAGCTTTTGAAGCTTGACTGGCGGAAAAGAATCAACGCCATGGATGCTTTGAATCATCCATACTTTTCGAGCCCGCCATTGCCTGCACGACCTGCTGAGCTCCCGTCTTTTGAGGACTCGCATGAGCTTGATAGGAGAAGATTCCGTGGCCAACGGGCCCCTATGCCACCGGCACCTGCAGGAGGTTCCGTAGGAGTTGGTGGCCCGAATGGAAGCTGGGCCACCAGTTCTGGAAACAGAACAGCCATTGATGGTAGACACAGTCGCCTTCCAAGCGCCGCCCTTCCGGCATGGCCCAATATCAACGGAACTCATGGAATTCCATCGCAGCGCTCTCTCGACAATCGAAGTGGTGAGGCGTATGTCGGTCGAGTGAGAATGGGTATCGAGGAGTCAGGTCATAACGGTAGCCTGCCACCTCGACCGCCCGCATCAACCCACCAGACATGGACCACCGGCAACACCGGCAGAGGGCGTGATAGAAACCAACAGGGTCGCTTGGGCGGGCGATCAGAAGGAGGTTTGGACTCGTATGTTCCAAGTCATATTGCTTCAATTGAACGCAACCGCGAAAGAGATTATCATAATTCGGGAAATTATGTGGACCGGCGTGAAATCAGCAATGATCAGACCTACCAGGCCGGGCGCAGAGAGTATTCCCGAGACAACAACCCTTCGAGGAGAAGGAGTCGAAGCCCGGATTTTAGAGAGAGGAATCGAGATTTTACGAGAAACTTGTATCGCCGATAATTTAGTACTCATATTGGATAATCTAATATCATTTTCTAGGTGTGGATGATGACCAGTCTTTCGACCTTTAGATAGGTGAAAGTGAAATTATGTTTACCAGAAGAGGGAAACGAATTATGTACTTTGATGTCGATGAAATACTTTGTAACCTCGGAAATCTTTTGGTATTCTATTCTAAGCGGGAAGACATGGAAATCATGTCAGACGCGTACCCGTTTCCGTATAAATAAATGGAAGCAAGACAGGGACACGAGATGAGTTGGACGGCGGTGTTGAACATGCTACCAGTAATGGGACATCTGCCATAGATAGGCGTAGCTCGGTCAACTCCTATAACCGAGTAACCTATACGAGTATTTTGTAAGAAAAAGATTACAAGCAGCCAGTGAAATACAAGCTGGTCTGAGACGTCGAAGAATGCGGTGCTTGGAATCCAACCAAACCTTGAAGCCGTACAGTTAAATGCCGTTGAAGGACTTCTGCTAGAAAGCAAGTGTGCGATCAATTATATCACTTCATTCTTTGTTAGGGAAGAGTGAAAGAGTTGAGCATCGGGTCATGGTGAGAGTCGGATCAAACCTTTAGTATAAGATTCGCGTCATGATCCGGGCTGAAATGTCCAGGAAGTGAGTGTCAGCGGCTTGACGGGGGGCCAGGAATGGAGGACTCCTTACATTCAAGGCTCTCCAACCTCTCATACAGATCCTTAATAGTCATATTGTCAACGTCGCTGATATCGGCCATTAAGTAGGCAACCTGGTCATAGTTAATCCCAGACTCTGAGCAAGCACCATGGAGTAGATACTTACATCGCCTCTGCTATCAGTCATCTGTTTGTCAACGTTGTGATCACCAAGGATCTCGTTAACTATGATACATAAGCAACTCCAATAAGATACTACAGGTGACTCCGACATATCTTACCTTTGCGCAAGACACCGGGAATATTCTGATGAATGAAGATAACCTGGGCCAAGATTTCAGTCACCGAATAATAAAGATGTGCCGTATCATTACTCACCCGAGCATGGTTTGGTTCATCCATTGTGAGAGAACGCAGAGCTACCTCTGGTATGTTGACGGCACCCAATGTTGTGCCTTCATTGACGTATCTCACTAATGCGTCCGCGACTTCGACACCAATTGCACGCTGCGCTTCCTCTGTGCTCCCGCCGATGTGTGGTGTAAGGATCAAATTCTTAAGACCACAAAGATCCGATGCCCAATCATTGAGCCCTTCGTTGAAGTAATCACCATTACCAGCGGGCTCATTAGGGTAGACATCAAGAGCAGCGCCAGCAACTTTACCCGAACGCATTGCGTGAATCAGTGCGGGAATATCCACAACACTCCCTCGGCTAGCGTTAATCAAGTAGCTGCCAGTCTTCATTTGTTCAAACTGGTGTTGCCCTATCATATTCCTTGTTTCTGGAAGCTCAGGAACATGGCATGTGATGAAGTCTGCCTGGGACAGAAGATCATCCAGGGTTGGCACTTGACGAGCAGTACCTAAAGCCATCAGATTCACTACATCGTAGAAAATAACCGACATGCCCATAGCCTCTGCTAAAACCGACAACTGGGCACCAATATGGCCGTAACCAATAATGCCTAGGAGGGAAATTAGCTGATATTTGATACAAGTGACAAATCGAGCATACCGAGGGTCTTTCCACGAATTTCCCAGCACTTATTGCTCACTTTGTTCCAAGTGCCGCTGTGCATCTCATTTGAACGATCACCCAACTGGCGAGCGAGGGCAATGATCTCAGCTATAACCAATTCGGCAACGCTCCGAGAGTTGCTGAAAGGGGAATTAAAAACCGCAATGCCATGCTCGGCCGCATATTGTAAGTCGACCTGGTTGGTTCCGATGCAAAAACAACCAACAACAATAAGATTTCTGGCTTCCTTCAAAATGCGGGCACTCAGCTTTGTCTTGGAGCGGATTCCAATCACATGAACATCCCTATTGATTGGCGCGAATAGTCAGACAGGAAATTGTAACATATTTTGGTGATACTGACCGAATTTTCTCAATCAGCTGGTCTTCTGGAAGAGAAGATTTGAGAAACTCCACTTGATAGCCCTGCTTGGTAAGGATATCCCTGCCAGTTTGATTGACATTCTCCAGCAGCAATACCTTAATATCTTCCGTTGCAAACGGCTTAAGGTGCTTTGCATTGGCTAAAGGGATCGTACGGCTTCCAAAGGCCGAACCTCCGTGACTAGACGGAGCTGACTGGAACGAGGCACTAGGGGAGGTGGAGAAGTTCAGGCTCTGCGAAATATTATGGAATGACCCATCTTGATGGGGGTTTATATTCCTTGGGGATGTTGCCATTGTTTGGAGCTCGCGCAATTGAAAGAGTGGTGGAAACAGAAGATATACTGTGGAACTGTGGAAGAAATGGGCAATTGGACGGAATACAACCAACCTCAAGAGGTAAAGAAGCGGCTGAGTTTTAAGTCCTCCGGAACCGGACTTCAACAGCGGCATTCCACTGGAGCATTATATTTTGTTTGAGTCATCACCGCAAACATGACATAATTAATTACATGCCCAACTGCGGAGGGGTAAGGCAGGTGGGGCAAAGGTTGTCACCCCTAGAGCAAAGTACAGTTGAATTCCGACATCCTTGTGTGTTTCAAGGCTGGACTCTCCACCCGCTTTATGTGCGTAAAAATATAACTACTAACTACTCCTCTCTACCCGGTAGTAATCAGTCTTATGCATCTTAACTGTTCCACCTTGCTGAAAATCCCTATTCTGAAATCCTATTTGTTCTTTAAAGAAGACACACTGACCCCTACCAAATATACAGTAAATACCTTAAACCCCCAAAAGCCCTCTGAATATATGAAGTAATGGGCGAAGTATATATGTATATAGAGAAGCCTTATTCACATGGGGCTCAATACATGCAAATGTGATACTCTTTGCATCTTGCCATACTAAGCCTATGACTGTAAAGTTATCTCGCGTAGTTACTATGAACCATACAATATGCAAACAACCTGCCAGCGCATACCAACCTAATTCACCTGCCTGTCTGTGTGTGGGTACTTTAGCATTAGAGACCTTCTGCAACAGTCATTTATATTTATAATTAATATATTAGATTAGTGTTAATTTCTTAGTGGCCTGCTAAGATCTAATCAGAACAAATCTCTGTGATTAATTATTTATAAGATATATAAATAAAGTATAAATACTAATATTTATTATTCAAAAAATTAGATCTAATATAATAATTACTAAATAATTAATAATCAGCAGTTATTAAGAATTACTATTTTAAGAAGAATTAAAGCTATTCAGACTATTTATATATACTTAACAGTCTAAATAAGTATAATAGACAAGTATTATAATTACTAGTAAGTATATAAAGATTAGACAAGGGTCTTGATAAAGTAATATAGAGCAGTAAAATAATTAAAACAGGCTGTTTTAAAAAGCTCTAAAGAGCTTATATATATATATATTTATATATAAATTAATACTGATTTGAAATAGAATATTTTCTGCCCGCTGAAATAATAAAATAAATATTTTTAAATAATTTTATAGCTGATTACTAGAGGCGGGCCGCTATACCCAATTTTAAATTAAAATATTAATAATAAATAACCATTGTAGAAGATCTCTATTGTTTCTGTGCATAACCACTTTGATTAAATTTCTTCATGGATATATAAGGATGCGTATCGAGGTAGTGTGAAGAAAGTATATCTATCGCGAAGTCAGGATAGTGTCTGTATTGCTTCAAGTATTGTTGCTAGTCTTCTATCTAGCTTCTCTCGCGGATAGATATATCTGCAAGGATTCTGTGGGTCATGTGCTATACTAGCATGACTACTTCGCGAGGGACTGCCTCCGCAGCGTGGGCATTCCTCGCGATATACTATATCGCGAGGGTTATAAGGATTACTTTCCTTACAGGATATATGTAAGGTGGTAAAATGGCCTAGGTACTGACTATATGCTGTAATTTATATACAGGCTAGCCTGAATAGATTTAGCTACACTATACATGATGTATATTAAGTATAGAATAATATAATGTAACCGACCCCTACGCGGCTTACCGCTCCGAGGTCGCCTGTAGAGCAACCTCAACGCCTTAACAGAGTTGATATATTAATATAATTAAATAAGAAATATAATTCTTTAAATAATTATTAATTTTTTAAATTTTAATAAAACTAGATATTTCTTATATAAAAATAAAGCTTAATAATTATTCTAATTTTTTAAATATCTGGATTTACTATATAATTAATTCTTAATTTAATATATATTAATATAATTTAATTATAATCTTTTTTTATCTTATATATAAGTAAGATTTTTTTTTAATAATATTATATTTTTTTTTAATTTAATTAATTTTAATAAAACTATTATTACTAATAACTTCGCCTATCTGTAGATAATATTTAAAGATTTTTTTTAATTAGATTAAGTAAGAACTGCGGCTGTAGATTAATCTAAATTCTATTTTAAAATATTAATAAAATATATCTATATTATATATCTTTTAATTAATATATTTAGATAGTATTTATAATTTAAGTCAAGTTTCTCTAAATAAAAAAAATAATTAATAATAGTTTTAATTTTTTAAATTATTTTAAAATTATTAGAGTATTATTAAAGAAGAAATTATTATAATTATTAATATTATTATTAAATAGAGTATAGAGCTGTTTCTTTATTATTTTTTAAATAATTATCTTAAAATTTTAAAAAATTAATTTTATTAGACAAAATTTATACTATATAGTCTAATATTTAAATATTTTAATTTAAATAAAGATAAATATTACTAGAAAATCTTTTTTAATAAAGATTTTATAAATAATCTAAATAGCTGTGATAATTATTTTATTATATTAATATTTATAAATATAAAAAATCCTAATATCTAAAAATTATAAGATATAATTTAAATAAAAAATTAAGATAAAAAAAATAATCTTATTTTTTTTATAATATTTTATAAATTTATATATTATTATATTATATAAGATCTATAGCTATTATAAATTAGAAATTAATATTTTTTTAATTAATTATTTTATAATAAGATTAAAATATTAAATTTATTAAAATATTATTTTATTTATTATATAATCTAATTTAGTAATTTTAATATATAAATTAGCTTTAAAATAATTAAATTAATTCTTTAAAATATATTTTTTTAATATTAAGATAAAAAGAGATAAGATCTCTCTAATTATATTAATTATTTTTATAATAATTATATATTCTTTATTTATATTATTTTTAATATAGTAATATTATTTAAAATCTTAAGTAATATTATAATAATTTATTAATTTTTTTTAATATTTATTTAAAAGTCTGTCTTATTAAAATTCTATATATTATTTAAAATAATTTTATATTTTAATATAATCTTTTTATATTATTAAAACTAATCTTTAAGTATCTCTGAATTATAAGTATATTTTTTATAAAATATTTATAATTTAAGTATATTTTTTTTTATATTTAAGATATTTTTTAAGTTATCTAGAGAATTATCTCTTGCTGATTATAAAAATTAAAATAATTAAATTAATATAAATCTTTTTAATTATATTATTTATAATTAAAATAATTATTTTTAACTAAATTAGAATAAATTATTTATTAAATAATTAAATATAATATAGTAAAGCAAGATTTTAGACTTTATTTAATTTTTAATAAAAATATTTTTAATTATTATAAAAATCTTTATTTTTTAATCTAATATAAAATCTGAATACTAATATTTTATATTCTTATATAAATTATATAATATTAGATTTCTGAATATATTTTAATATATAAATAATCTATTAAATTTAATTCTTAATTTTATAATAATCTATAGATATTATAATAGCTTTAAAAAATATAATTTAATAAAATAATTAATTTTTTAAGAAAGATAATATTAATATATTAACTTTGTTAAGATGTTGGGGTTGCTCTACAGACAATCTCGGAGCGGTAAGCCGCGTAGGGGTCGGTTAGCATCGCATGCTAAGTCCTTACCACATTGGGAAAGGAACATTGGCCAAACAAGCCTCTACACATACATACATACCTAGTTCCTTAACTGTGCGAGTCAGGTTTAGTATACAAAAGAATTGGGTTGGATCAAATACAGCTAAAGTACTCGGTACTAGGGCTGACAAACTGCAACGAAATTTGGCTTCAGGGGTATCATAGAATTAAATCCACATAGCCGCACACCATTTTGCACGGTACAACAGTACTAAGGTAATCAGTACAGAGTATAGAACATGTAGTGCACACCAGTTTGCTTTCATCTACTAAAGCACAGCGCCTATTAGTATTGAGATTCCTCCCTTGCTATCATCAGTGCGATCAACATGCACCAGATAGCTTGCTCACTACTCCATACCTCCATAGGGAGAACACTTGCAGCTCCACATGATGTACAGAACATGTATTCTGGCATTTATTCTATGTAGACCCTTCTCAGATTCCTTTTTGGGGAATGCGGAAATTTATTCAAGACTAAGGTCCCTAGCACGCCTCTTTTGTAGAATATTTGATTGAAATGTCTCACTAGACGAACCATTGGGCCAATGAGCTTGTCTCCTTGTCTGAAGTATGTAGATAACTTCAGTTAAACCTGAAGGTCTTGCATTTGTTTGGCAGTTTCTTCTGGGTTACTGGCGTTCTTCGAAGCTTGCTTAGCCTTGGATTTGACAGAAGTACTGTCCTTAGGGAGGTCTTTCGTATACGGAAGAAACTCGGGCATGCCTGGAATATATTTCCTCAGAGGCTCCGGCACAATTATTCCCTAAAGAAACCATCAGCATGATCAAATATATATACAAGTCCGAGGAAACACATACATCTTCCGTTTGATAATTTTCTAGTACACAGCAGAGTGTCCGTTCGGTAGCACACAAAGTCGCATTCAAAGCATGGACATATGACTTTTTGACATCGGTGGCTTTCTTCGTACCGTAGCGAATTTCTAGTGCTCTAGCTTGGTAATCGGTACAGTTGGAGCAAGAAACTAATTCTTTGTACTCTCCTTGGAATGGGAACCATGCCTCGAGGTCATACTTCTTGGAGGCGGCATTGTTCAAAGCCCCCGAAACAATAGCAACGACCTGGTACGGCAGACCGAGGGATTGATAAAACTCTTCAGAGGTAGCCATCATTTCATCAAATATTTGCCATGAGTCTTCTGGTTTTGCGAGAACAAATTGTTCAATCTGCATCAAGGTAAGTAACGGTGAGGAAGGAATGCACATAGTCAAGGTCCAGTCACCTTTTCGAACTGATGAACACGAAAGATCCCCCAGGCATCTTTACCGTGAGAACCCGCTTCCTTCCGATAGCATGTGCTGTACCCAGCATATCTGTGCCCAGGTTAGCCTATATCGAATAGAAGAAACGTAAAAGCCACAAAACCCCAACCTACTTGATTGGTAGATCCTTGTCTTGTAGCCACTCCCCATCATGCAGGGCAGACAATGGCTGCTCCGAGGTGGCAATGAGGTATTTGTCAGTGGACTTGTCCTCGCTTTCTGTGACCTTATACAATTCCTCATCAAACTGCTCGAGTTGAGCAGTCTTGGCCATCATCTCCCTGAGCATGAATTGAGGGGGCTGGTTTGGCTTGTAGCCTTTTCCCCATAGAAATTCTAGGCCATAGTTTATGAGGGCGAGATTGAGGAAAAGTCCATAGCCAGTCAAGCAGTAGCCGCGGTGACCAACCACCTTGACTCCACGCTCCGAATCAAATCCGTCAAGACGCGTGAGTACTTCATGGTGGGAAAGGCAATCGCGCTTGTCAACCTTGACGTTGTCTGGTGCCCACGTTCTTAATACAGCATTGTCATCCTTGCGAGAACACATGAGTCAATTTGGCTTAAATGTGTAGGACAAAAGACAACACTTACTTCATTGTTGCTCACAGGGACAGACTCGTGAACAAGGTTACCAATTGTTCCAATTTTGCTGTCCCTTTGCATTTCCTTTTGAATAGCAAGTTCCTCGGCATCCTTCTTTGATTTCTCCAGGCCAACTTTCTGCTCCATTAACTCACTAGCATCTTCCTTGTTCTAGTGTTGAATGACCGAATTAGAAAGAACCTGTTTCTCATACATAGATGCAGTGGAACAAAGTAGGAGAATTTGAGGGACTAACCTTTTTCTTCTTTCCGATTTCTTTTTGGAGAGCATTGAGCTGCGAATTTATCTGCATAACCTGATAGCGTGCTACCATACACACAATATAAGCTGAAAACCCCCTATGAAGGGTGGGCGATTATTTATGGATACCATACCATGCCGTGCTTCTTCGTATAGAGCAAGAACCTCATCAACGACATTTTCAGGTGCATAGCGTTTGCGCTGGCTTTCCTTGATTTTGTTTGGGTTTCCACCGCGGTCACTGATAAAGTCCGCAAGATCAAGCATGTCGAACAGCTTCTTGTTGAAAGTTTTGGGAAATAATCCAGGAAAGTAGTGCTTGTTATGAAAGAAGAGGGATCTTGGGTCTGTTGGGGCGGGGAGAAGGACAGTTGGTCGACAGAAAAGAGGGGCCGGAAACTCGGTTGGTGTTAGAATTAATTGAGGGGCAGAAATTTAGGGGCTTGACTTTTCAAGTATAGCCAGCTTACGGCAAGTACTGGTAGAACTGCGGAGGCGGTGTGAAAGAAATCGGCGGGTACTTCCCACTAGTACTAAGTACTAGGTTGGGCAGTACGGAGTACGTAGGAGTACTGATGTGGTGCCAAGCGGTAAGGATGACTGGAGATACTGTCCCTTAGGGAAAGTTTGCATAGTCACGCTAAAATCAGGCTGTATATATATATTTTAATTAATATAATTATTTATCTCTGCTTTTTTTATTATTAATATTATTATAATTAGATATTCTCTATAATTTCTAAATTTAAATTTAAAGTAAAATTATATACTAAAACTATTTAATTAAGCTTATATTCTAGATTTTTATTATAATAAGTATAAACTAATTAAGATCATAAAAAAATTAAAATAGTTTATATAAATTATTTATTTAATAATAATATATATATTTTAAAAATTTAATAATATCTTTTAATTATATTCTAATTAACTAGAGTGGCTAACAGCCAGGATAGGTTAATAATAACAGTTAAAAAATTTAGATAATAGTTAAAATATTTTATAAGAATTAAAATAATTATATAATTAATTTCTAAGTTATATAATATATAAATATTACTATAAATTATTTAATAATTAAAAATTATTATATAAAATAAACCCTAAATTAATTAATTATATATTAAATATAGTCCAACTATATTAATTAATATTTAAAATATAATTTATAAATAAATATAAAATATTTTTTTAAATTTAATTTTAAAAGTTGTATTTTATAATTTATTTAGATTAAAATATTTTTTTTAAGAGATTGATTTTTAAGCTGTATTTTAACTGTTAGCCACTCTATAATTAACTAAAAAAGATTATTAATAAAGATATATAATATATTATTTTGTTATGGGATATATCCCAGAACTATTCAACTCAGCTAGTCTGTCTTAGTAGACTAATAATCTACTGATTTATATATATATATAGAATTATTAGATTTCTGAGAATTTTCTTTAAAATATTAATTATTTTTTTATATATACAGACTTGATTTTTTATAGCTTATAAATTCTATTTCTAATATTAGAATTTAGAAATAATTCTTAAAAAATATTATATTTTAGTAATTAGTTATATATAAATTCAAATAGATTAATTAAAATATTATAGCTTAATAATTAACTATAAAATTAAAATATTAATAATTTATAAAATAATATTATAAATTAATAATTAATTATATATAAAAAAATAATAGAAGATCTGATATAAATATAATATTTTATTAATTTAATATATAGATTAGAGAAAGCAGAATAATAAATAATAAAATAATAAACTTTTATTATAAAATATAAAAATAGAATAAATAAAAATAACAATTTAATTAATAAATTAATAAATTATAAAAAATTATAAATATTTAAATAATAAAAGAATTTATTATATTAATAAAAAATATTTTTAAAACTTTTATAAATAATTATTTAATTATATAATTAAGACTTCTTTATTTAAAAATTAAAATCTTTAATAAAATTAATAAATAAGACTTTCTTATCTTTAAAATATATTTATATTTGAAGTCTATAATAAATATAGATATATATTGTAATAATACTATTAAGATAATTTATATATTTATATATTTAAAAAATAATATAATAAAAAGAATCCTATTCTAATATGAAAGTTTAGATAATAAAACTATTTATATTAATATTATTACTAAATTAAATAAGATTTATAAAAATTGAAATTAAAAAATAAGAATATTAAATAAGCTATACTTAGAGTGGCTTAACCTGATTATTATATCTTAATCTTAATCTGACCATAATCTGACAGTTAGATTAAGATATAAAGAATTTTTAATTATATAATTAAGATTAGATTAAGATATAATTATTATTATAATTATTTATATTTATTAATTAGAAAGATTAGATATAAAAGATAAATTAATAATTATAGATTAATTTATAATATATATATTTTTTCTATATAGATAATATATAAAATATAATATATATTTAATTATAATATAAATATAATAATATTTTTTAGATATAGTCTATTGTTTAATCTACTTAATCAATTATTTTAAAAAATATATTATATTTTAAAAAAGAGTTTTATAAAATCTAGTATAAAAAAATAAGAAAAAATATAAAATATTTATTTTTTATATTATTTAGAATAATAATTATAATAATATAAAATATTTATTTTTTATATTATTTAGAATAATAATTATAATAATATAAAAATTATAAAGACTGGACTTTTATCTTTATTTAAATATATATAATAATTAAAAACTTAAATAAAATTAATTCTTTTAATTTTAATAATAATCTATTTTTTAGATTATTTTTAAGATTATTTATATTTTTATTTTTATTAATATAAAAGATAATAATTATCTTATTTTTCTTTTATTTTTTAGATATAAAAATAATTAAATCTAGATTAAAATTATTAAATATATTTTAATATTTCTTACTTATAATAAAATAATTAATATATATTTAAAATATAATTATTTTAATTATATTAGAATAAAAACAGCTCCGGTGATAGTAGCAGATATTTTAAGAATTATTAAAAAAATATTTAATATTAATATTATTAATTATAATTAAGAGAAAATCTTCAATTATCTAATAAAAAATAAAAAACTAATTATAGCAAGACTTTTAATAAATAAGAATATTAATATATTTTATAATATCTAAAATTATATTAATTTAATTAAAGATATCTTAAGAAATTATATATTTTTAATATTTAAATATATTTTAAGCTTTTTATATATCTTAACTGCGGATAAGAGTCTCTAATATTTAAAAATATTATAAAAGATTTTAGTCAGATCTAATAATAATTTAAAGATTCTTAATAATATATTAATTATTAAATTTTAACTATAATAAAAAAAGAATATCTTCTTAAAAATAATTTAATATTTATAATATTAATTAATATTATTATTTAGCTATATATTTTTTTTAAACTTCTTAGACTTTAATATTAGATTTAAAATAATTATAATTATATAAATATAGTCTTTTATCTAATAAATATAATAATAATATTTTTAAAATTTTTAATATATATTATATAAATTCTTAAGAATTCTTTTTTTTAGAATATCTGCTTTCTTTTTATTCTGTTAATTAAATAATTTAAATAATTAAAAAAACTATTATAAATATTATAGATTTTATAAATAATAGACTTATTATTTTTAGAAAGATAGAAAAAAATAAAATATATAAAAGCTTAAAAAAATATTTTATTTATTTTTATTTAATTATAATAAAATAAAAATAATTAATATTATTATATTTATAGTACTGAATAAAACTTTTAATTATTTAATAAAAATTAAATATTTAATAAATTATAAGATAGATTAAATTTTAATAGATTTTATAATTAAAAAGTAATAATAAATTAAATCAGATTTAAATTATTAAATAAATAAAAAATTTTTATAATATTAAAAACTTATATTTATAAATTATATAATCTTTTAAATCTATAATTAAAAATTAATATAATAAACTAACTAATAGAAGATTTTTAGAAGCTTTTTATAAAAAAAGATTTTATATTAGTTTTTTATAGACAGCTTCTAGAATATATCTTTTTAAAAATTCTTAAAATATTAAAAAAGACTTTAAAACTTTTATTATTATTTATAATATTCTCAGAATATAGTCTTATAAGAATAAAGTCTATCTTCTTCTAGATATATCAGAGTATATATATAGGATTCTAGAGATTCACAGATAATTACAGATAATATTAGTCTTTTGACTAAGTAACAATAACTCTTCTAGATTGTAGTCTTACAAATTTTAAATTATCAAAAATTAGCTTAGTATAAAAAAGTATATAGTCTATAGATAAATCTTTTCTTTAATGAAATAAATAACTATACAGAAACTTTAGAGAAGAAGAGAAATAGATATTTATTCTTATTATAAAAAAATAAGAATATCTGATTAGAGAATATAATTAAAATCTTTTTATTTAATTAACTATGTAAGCCGCACTTGTGATTTAAAAAAGGATTAATCTAAGAAGATCTTAGATAATTATAAGAATTATTAAAAAAAAATAGTCTTTATATAAAATTATAAATAGTAATATTTAAATAGAACAAATAGTTTAAATTAAAATTATTTTAATAATTAAAATTAATAAGAAGAAAATTATTAATTATATTATTTTTATATAACTAAATATTAAAATATATATTAAATCTAATATTTATATATATATAATAAATTACCTGCTCAAGTATGATATAATTTAGATTTATCTTAATTAAAAAGATATAATAAAAGAATTAAATTAAGCTAAAACTATACTTATTTTTAAATAATTTAATTAAGATTAAAAATAATAATAATAATATAATTCTCTCTAAGCAAGATATTAGCTATTATATTCTAAATCTAAATCAAAAAAAAGAATTTTAAGAATAGATATAAAAATATTTACTATATTATTTGAAAATATTAAGAACATTCTATATAAAAAGTTAAAACTAAATTTTAAAAATATATTTTCTCTATATTATTAATAGTCTTAAACTCTTTGAATTAAAAAATACTAAAGCTCTTTCTCTGTTCTATAATTTAAAAATTAATTATAATATTAAATTAAAATAAAAAATAGTGAGAGTGGCTAACAGCTAGAGTAGGTTAATAATAACAGTTAAGAAATTTAAATAGTTAAAATATTTTATAAAAATTAAAATAAATATATAATTATTATTTAAATAATAAGTATAATCTAAACTAGATAATTATATAATTAATTTTTAAATTATATAATATATATATATATTATTATAAATTACTTAATACTTAAAAATTATTATATAAAATAAACTATAAATTAATTAATTATATATTAAATATAATCTAGCTGTATTTGCTAATATTTAAAATATAATATATAAATAAATATAAGATATTCT